TCAGTCACTAAGTGCCCCCTGGGGGGGGGTGTCAGTGGTGTCACTTGTGCACAGACAGTGGTGTCACTAGTGCACAGACAGCAGCACCTCCTACTCAAACCCTTGACTTATTCTATGTCTCTCTCCTTTGCCTCTCTCTTTCCCTACCACTCCCTCTCCCCTGGACGCTCCATCAATTCCACTCCACTCACCCCCCCAACTGCTCTCTCATTTCCAGCAGGTCCAGGGTCAGCTGCCCCCCCTGATGATCCCGGTGTTCCCTCCGGATCAGAGGACTCTGGCTGCAGCCGCCGCCCAGCAGGGCTTCCTGCTCCCTCCGGGATTCAGCTACAAGCCAGGCTGCAGTGAGTGCGGGGGCGGGGCTTTCCGGCAGAGGGGGCGGGGCTTTCCGGCAGAGGGGGCGGGCCTTTCTGGGTCAGGATCCGAGAATGAGGAGCACGGGTGTAAGGCAGGTGCCGTGCTCGCCAGGTGACCGAGGCAGCCCATCACACGGAGCCTCTTTTGTCTTTGAGTCACATTTTCAAAAAGTAAATCGAGGAAGAAGGCGGGGATGGAAGGAGAAAAAAAAGCGGCTCCTCTGGGAGTTTTCTTTTTTTGGTCGTAACCGTCCAACTGTGAGGCAATGTGTTGTTTACAGCGTGAACAGGCGCTGCCAGCATTCTGCGGAATAACGTGAAGACACAGGGGGGTAGACCTGCCCCAGGTTTCCTCGCAATAACGCAGGACGCAGCCAGAACACGCTTCCAACACGCCTCCGACACGCTTCCAACACGCCGAGCATCCCAAGGTCCAGCTCTTCCCACAGAACTTCACAGTTTCCAAAACAAGTCCATCAATATCAATTATTACACTACTCCCCCCCCTTCCCGGCAGCCTGCTCCAGCACTGCCATTCTGGCTTCGATTGTTTCTGCCTGCGGGTTCTCTGCTCCGCTCGGCTCTTCCTCCTCCGGTCCAGCTGTTCCTGTGACTTCCGGTCCCGCTAGTGCCCCCTCCAATTTACCACGTCACAAACATGCAAACCCTGATCATTTCCAACCCCCCCCAGCGCTAACCAAAGAAGCTTTATGACACCCCCACAAGCTCAAATTGAAATTTAAGGCAGTGAGCAGCGGACTGACTTATTCTTTTTCAATTCTTCTTGGTCTTAAACCAGTGAGAACTTGACTCAGAGCATGAGCAGCTCCTGTCGCGGGATCCATCTCTTGCCTGATTTACCACCGTCCTCTGGCCAAAACTAACATGTTTAACTTTTTTTTTGTTTCTCTTTTGTTTCAGCGGTCCCCGCGAGTCCTATAAAATGTCTTAGATATTTTTGTTTGTTTTAGGGAGTAAAATAATCTCCCATAATACATCACTGACATTGTTCCAAAGAATGCTTCAACCTAGTTGTTTTTTTTAATGAAAAAGTTATATGGGAAAAATTGAGCTGGGAATGTCTGGTTTATTACTTAACAAGTGAAAACCCCCGATTCAGCCAAATTGTACCCATATTGGGGATCAGGGCAAAAGGGGGGCGTGCCGGACTGATTTAGTGTTACATGGATTTATGTTGCATTCAATTATCTTGGCGAAGTCGTAAATTCCGAGGTGTGTGACACCACATCCAAGCTGTTGTTGTTGTTGTCTGAGCACAAAAAGCTAATGGAAAGACATTTATTACTTCAAATCAAAGAGCAAACCAAAGATGTATAACTATTAATACCTTTAACAAAATAAACATTTTCAAATATTTATAAAATAGAGAAGCAGTGAAACACTTAGTGTTGACTGTGTAAACCCCCACCTTGAAAGGACAGAGGAATCTCGCACAACAGAAGTCTGTCCCACGTGGACATCGGGAAAGGAGGTGTGTTTCGGACAGGAAGTGACATTTTCAACACGTTTTCATAACGTTTTTTCTCGACTTATGACTCGGAGAGAGATTTGAACACAGAATTAAACACGCTGGTCGGGGCATATGCAGGGTCGGCGACGCCTGGCCCAGCTAAAAGCTCATTGGCCCCTGAAGTGCCCCCTCCCCTGTCATTGACCAATTAAATACATATCATTGGCTAATGATAAGGCAGGCCCTTCTGTATGAATTATGGCCCCTGTAATGACACCCATCTTAAAAAATCGCCTTGCTTGTCTCACATGACCCCGCACATCCCCTTGATCTCTGCCAATCATCTTTGAGCACAACATATCACTGTGTAAGTCTGCTTTCGTACCTTGCGCCGGAGCGCCGGGGTCAGATTACGCTCCCACGCTTCCGCTTAGCCGAAGCCTTATTGATCTGTTCTCGCCGTTGCCGACAGCAGCGGCGCACAAAGGCGGCTGCCCTGGTGGCCATAAAAGCTGCTCTTTCACTCCAGAACAAAGCATTCTGGGAAAAAGGAAGAAAGGACGCCTCACCTAGGCCATTAAGACACCGCGAGCCGAGAGCCAGTGAAACGGAGTCTGTAAAGTGGCGCATTAAGGACGCGGCAGCGGTGGTGGCGGTGCTGTGGCGGTGCTGTGCTTCATGGACGCAGCACGCAGGGCCTGCTTGTTAGCAGATAAAGGGACGGCAAGAGTCGCGCTCCCTGATATTTCCTGTAGAGGGGGTAATTACCAGCCCTATCTGCCGCCCTTGTGCCCATAATTCAGCCCTCAGCACCCAGCCAGCCCCCCTCCCTGCCGGAAAGCTCCTGTCGGCTGAGATGAAGTTTTGCTCCTTAATTACTGGCCGTGATCTGCTGGGTGGGGGGGGGCTTCCTCAGCCTTCTTTGTGGAGAGGGCATTAGGCGCATGATCCGGCTTTCATTAAGGGGACCGGGGGCTGCAACAAAAGAGGACTTTGCAGGGGGGAAGGAGTCTCCCTGGTGGTCAGCCTTTGGAGTGGGGGGGGGCAGCCTTCAGAGGATGATGATTTTGAGTATCTGGTTTGGGGGTGGGAGCTGGCAGCCGGAAAGACCCAGCTTTGGACGTGTGGGTGGTAAAAGACGGACACCCAGTGTAAGAGTGGACCTGCTTGAAATGCCGCTTTTTTGACCCCCCCCCCAGGTGACCCCTACCCACTGCAGCTGATCCCAACCACTATGGCGGCGGCGGCCGCAGCAACGCCTGGACTCGGCCCCCTACAACTCCAGGTAAGACCGACGGGCGTCGGACATCAGCCTCACCTCCCCAGGTCAAAAGTACAGATCATTCCTGGCTTGGGGGGGGGGAGTCAGTCACATGTCATCTGCTAGAGATCCCTCCCTTCCTGACAAGTTTGTGTACAGTGGACAAGTGTGAAGGAGTCCCAGAGCCGCCCCCCCTCTACAAATATGTCCCCCCCACCATGTTTAGCCTCTGCCTCAGTGGCATAGGAGACAGTTCGATTTCAAGTTTGATATTAAAGACATAGATCTATTTATTGGGGGGGGATGAATGAAGCCAAATTAAAAATTGGGGCTTAAACTTTCCGCCGGTTTCCGTCGGCATTTTTAAGATATTTATTTTGAGAATAAATCGGTCAAACATCTGCTGCCTCCAAAGTCCCCCCCTTCGGTCCAGGAGATCAGCAGGAGGGCTTTCCCACATCACGGTCACATTCCCCTTCCCTGCAAAGCCCCGCCCCTTTTGAGCCCCCGCCCACCCCAGAGTTTCACACCCTGACATATCCGCAATCCTCCCCGGTATCGCAGTCCTGACTACATGGCTGTTCCTACCTTCAATCCCGCACTCTCAAAATCCCCCAGTGAAACAGATCACTTTGTTACAGGCTGGGGAGTGGGGGGTGGGGGGGGGGGGTAATTCACTAACCAGCGCTTCCACTGCGATCAGCGCTGCGTTCCATTTTTACGAGCGGATGCCCTGAGACGGACATAAAGATTACTGCCCCCCCTCAGGGGGTCAGATACTTCAGAGCCACAGTCATAATGGAGAGACAGTCAGAGCGAGAGCTGGAACTGCTGGGGGGGAAGGGGTGTTCTCACACTCGCGCACACACACACACACACACACACACACACATACATAATAATCTGCACACACTCATATTTACACTCCTTTTGACATTACACTCATATTTAGACAGACTTTCAGACTGGGACATACACACACACACACACACACTCACCTGCAGCCTGGTCTTATCACCACGTTCGAGCCCCCCCCCCACCCCTGACAGCACGGCTCTGAGAATCCAATTTAGTCCAGGTCGTCACCCCTGCGCTCCCCTGGTTTAACTGGGTCCCCGGTGTTCGGCTGAGAGATAAGAGGCACAAAGGGGTGTTGTAGGGGTGGATCGCCAAACAATGGCAACCGTGTTCAAAGGCTCATTTCACGACTGGTGTTGGGGGGGGGGGGCTTTTAAAGTGGGCCTCGTACCTCCTTTTTCCTGCCTCACCGTGTCGCACACCGCCCCCGTCTCCATAGTGATGACTGCTCGCAGTAACCTTTGACCCCTCCCCTGCCCAGTGACATTTTGAGTCGTACGCAGTTGGGACCCTCTCCCACTTCTGGGGATGGAGCTGCAGCCTGGGGTCACGCCTCGGGGTCTGACCCACAGGTACCGGTGGGTAGCGGTACAGCCGCCCCTGTCCAAAGTCCCATAAGTGAAGGCCTCACTGCCCTCCTGTGGACACAGGCTGCTACCGGCGTTCTGTCACTATGCTTCCTGTCACTATGGTTTCTGTCACTATGGTTTTGGTCAGTCGCTATGTTTTCATTAAAAGTCTTGTCAGGACAAAACACCAGGATGCATTAAAACCACCGCCACCTCCCATTCTGGTACGTTCTGATCCACAGCTGGCCGTCCACCTCATATTAGCAGGACTGACCTGACAATCTTGGTGTGGCTCGGGGGGGGGGCAGGGGAGGGTAGTGGGTAGTCAGGCAGGTCTCTATCCTCACAAAGGGGATCAAGGCGACAGTGACTGCGCGACACACTTAAAGGCCCGTGCAGCCGACAGTGACTGCGCGACACACTTAAAGGCCCGTGCAGCCGACAGTGACTGCGCGACACACTTAAAGGCCCGTGCAGCCGACAGTGACTGCGCGACGCACTTAAAGGCCCGTGCAGCTGCTAACGGCTAAATACTTTTAGCTGGATTCTCAGCTTTATTCTTGGGGAAAAAAACCCAAGCGAAGTTTCTTGCACTGGATCTTGGAGGAGCAGGGGGGGGGGGGGGTACGGTGCAGGGAGCCATGCAGCTGCGGGGTGGAGGTGTGGAGCAGTGTGTACCTGCCCCCCTCCCTCCCCACAGCCCCCGGTCATGCCGGAGAGATATAAAGAGGGTCAATGGACGGGGTTCGGCATCACAGGAGGAGGCAGATGTTGGAGCATATTGTGGGGGGGCGGGGGGGGGAACTGAGCCTATGGCTAATACCTTAACTGCGGGAAGGATTCAGCACATTTACTCATGCGCCTCAGAGGGAAAGGCCCACAGACCCTTGGGCCGGTTTGGAGTGGCGGCGTGTCTGTCTGCCTGTCTGTCTGTAGGTGGCGTGGTGGTTAAAGGCACAGTTTGAGGTTTCAGGTCCCAGGGAGACAGTGAAGTAGTCCAATAAAATGTTAATAGAAATATTCAAATATCCATAGACAACCAAGTCATTATAAAAAAGGACCAGATAACAACCAAATAATGATGATAATAATAGTAACAACAACATAATAATGGTACTAATAATTATAATAAAAATATTATTATTATTATTATCATTATTATTGTATATATACCCATCTGGTAACTGCTTACCCATCAGACTTGCCATGGTCTGGAACCCATCCCAGGTAGCAGGGCCCCCCCTTGGTGGGGTGACAGTGATAATAAGCATAATTCCCTTTTTGCGGGGCCCGACTCCCCCCCCAGACACAAAGCCGGCATCCCTTTCCGCCCGTCCGCTGGCAGGGAGCTCCGCGAGGTCAGCGAGCTTTATCTTTCTCACAACCCCTGCGGTTCACGGCCGGCGTCGTCGCCCCCCTCCCCCCCCCCCCGGCCTCCCGCTCTCAGCCTGGTTTCNCTCTCAGCCTGGTTTCATTCAGGCAACAAAGCCGGTGGATGGGAGGGCAGCGTATAATCTCTGTGAGGCGGCGGATTACGGCGGGCAGAGGGTCTGCCCAGGGTGCCTGGCCTCGCTTAACGCACCGAGGGGGCTGCCCGTCACTGCCAGCCGTCACAGCTCCACTTTGGGGCTCTGGGCCCCCCCCCTTGTGTGTCTGTCAGGGACAGGCGCCCCACACACCCTAATACACGCACACCTTCCTCCTGACGCTGCTGCCCTGATTGATTACAGATCATATTGAGGGATTAAGCGTGAGCCGGTGCGGACGGCGGCTTTCAGGGTTCAATCAGCCTTACCCCCGCGGTCCAGATTTGCCTGGTTGCCATGGGACTGTGCTGTCTGCCACGTTCAATTAAAGCTCCCCTCAATCCAGCCCTTCCCCCAACATCTCAATACCCCCTTCTGGAAACATCCACTGACGTTCACCCCCCCCACCTTTGCAGATGCCTTAACGCCCACCCTTTGTGGGGTCACATTTAAGCTACTCTGCATCATCACATTCCAGATAAGATTTTTGCCCTTCTAAGGAGAACTCAACAGCACCCCCTGTGGTCAGATGAGTCACTTCTTGTCTTCTCGCTTCTGCAGCCCCTCTCTGAGCACACTCAGACCCCCTGGCACTTTAGATGCCCTCTAGTCACTGTACATATCACATGCCACACCCCCGCCTGAGTCGGCCCCACCCGTCCTTTTACATGGGGTTATTTGCCAGCCAGCAGGGGGAGCAGTACTTCATGGGGGACATCCGTGTGTGCGGATGCGTGTAAGCATGGCTGCGGCCACGAAGCATTAATCTACGGCGACACAGGATGGAAGTAAAGTGGCCATGTAGCAGAGGGGGTGACAGAGAAAGGCGGGGGCCATTTGCATAAAAGCAGCCTTTGTTTCCCGTCCGTGGCTGGCGGCCAGCGTGGGACAGAAGGACGGAAGTTTCACTCGCAAAACAGTGATTAATTTCCAAAATCTTAAAGAGAAACAGCAGCGAGGCACCAAAGTCTCGTCCTTCTGAGAACGCGCTCAGTTTGCACTTTAAAGACGAGCGCAGGAAAAAATCTCCCGTCTTCTGTCACAAACCGGGTGTTTTTTGTTGTGTATCATCAAGAAAGGAATGGTTTTAAATAGAAATCGTCCCCTTAATTTCCTTAATAACATGCACAAAGGCGGTTCGGCTGGGTACATTTAACAGCCTCTGCTGGAATGTCGGGCAGCTTAAAAATAGTCGTGTTAAGTCTGTTTACGAATGTCAGTTTAGCGTCACCGGCTTAAGTCACTCGGGAGCTGTCTGTCAGCAGTGAGGGGCTTGTTCTGAAGGAGCGCTGCCTCGTGTGGCGGGGGACGTGAACCCGCGGAGCGTTTCGTGCCTCTGTGGCGAGGGACGAGAACCCGCGGAGCGTTTCCTGCCTCTGTGGCGGGGGACGTGAACCCGCGGAGCGTTTCGTGCCTCTGTGGCGAGGGACGTGAACCCGCGGAGCGTTTCCTGCCTCATGTGGCGGGGGACGTGAACCCGCGGAGCGTTTCCTGCCTCGTATGGCAGGGGACATGAACCCACGGAGCGTTTCCTGCCTCTGTGGCGGGGGACGTGAACCCGCGGAGCGTTTCCTGCCTCGTGTGGCGGGGGACGTGAACCCGCGGAGCGTTTCCTGCCTCTGTGGCGGGGGACGTGAACCCGCGGAGCATTGCTGTGCCGGACTTGGTGGCAGGGAGGGGTGTCATTTGGTTGGGAGGATGAACCTAGGAATCGGTTCATGTTGTCACTATATCGCAATACTACCTGCGACAAGCTTTGCCTTTACAGTTATCGCCGGAACCGCCAGTCTCCGGAATATTTCAAATCCCCACGCGGGCCCTCGGAATACTGACTGCGGTCGACTTGAAAAGGAGCCCCCTAACTTTCCTGTTTTCCCTTGACCTTTTTGTTTATCTCGAGAGACACTATCCCCCCCCCACCCTCAGCACGCCCGCGACCCTCATTCAGCATCGTATCCCAGGATGCACCTGTCTCTCACTCGCGTGTGCTGTTAGCCGGGCCTCTGGGGGCCGGGCAGTGGGACGCAAAGTGACAGGCCGTCCCAGAGCAGCCGCCGGGCCCCCCGCTAATGGCCGGCCCCGGCTTTTTAACCCCATCTTCTTTTTGTTTGTGCAGTGTGCGTATTTATTTATTCATGTGTCTCTCTCTGTCCCTCCCTCCTTGTTTTCTTTCCCCCTCGTTTTGTTTTTGCAGCAGCTGTATGCGGCCCAGCTGGCGGCCATGCAGGTGTCCCCGGGGTCGAAGCACGGCAGCATGCCCCAGGCCAACCTCGGCACACACTCGCCCACTAGTGGCCAGACGGAGAAGTGCAGGAGCACCCCACCTCCCAAACCCAAGGTACTGCCTCTCCCGCCTTTTGTGGCCCCACGTGGGCTGAGTGCAGTCTGACATCCCTCTAGTGGCATTCCGCTTCCGTGTAAGTGCTGTGCAGCTGTCCCCCGAAGCAGGAAGTGCTCCGGTGTGTCTTCTAGGCCTCCGTTTTGGGCCCCAGAGGAAGCAGGCACTTTATATTAATTCCCGGCAAACCGTTCCTGGGGTAGAAGCCCTGCAGTGAACATCAGCCGCATTGGGATTGACTGTGTCTGGCATCATCAGGGCCTCCTCTTCACAATCTACAGGACTGGGGGGGGGCTTTCTCATCTTGTCACTCTGCTGACTCATCACTGTGCCGTTTACATCTCTCCGTCAGACCCCCCCCTTCTCCTCCCCCTCGGGGCAGCGGTTGGGGTAAACATGCATTTTTCAGGGTCCCCGTTTTCCCTGGGTTTCTCGCCCCACTTAGGGCAACTTGACGCCTGTCAGGCAGCTGTTAAGGCTGGGGCACGTGGCTTTTAAGAGCTGCCCCCCCCGTGGAGGTTCAGGTGGGGGAAAGCGTAGGTGTGGAGCAAGATATTGTGCCCCCCCCCTCCACACTCACACGCTGGCTGGTTCTTCATCACACAAGTATGTTCAAGGCCTCCTTCTGTGGCCTCTTGTCACCACGGTGACCAGCTAATAGTTTCCGTGGCGGCGAGTCCACAGGCCCATGACCCGCATCGGCTGCGGGCACCACTCAAGATGCCACCATGTCACACAGCAGGAGGCGACACCGCAAGCCACCCGCCAGCAGAGTGGGTGGGAATCGGCACAGCCTGTTCGCAGAGAAAGTCACCAGGACCTAGCACGAGTTAGCGCCGGGCAGTTTTCACGCAGCCCGTAGCATAGCGCCGTCGATTACACAAAGCCCACCCTCTGGCCAGCCAATCGGACACAGGGCAGCCACACCCTATCCAATAGCAGGCAAGAGTATCCACAGTCCAGCCAATCACATGCAGCCCAGCCACAGCCCACCTCGCCAATCTCTGCTGCTAATTCCTCCTTGGTGGCATTATTCATGTTGGCCAACGTCCCACTGACGGATTTACTTCTGAGAGAATGAGCATTGGGAAGAGGCATTATCTGTAATAAATATTCACGTTTCTCCTTCAATCCAGCGGCAGAAAGCCCGACACAATATGGGTCAGAATTCAATACTCCCCATCAGCTCCATCCTGCTTGCTCCTCATTCAAGGAGGCCTTTGTCTCCTGCGTAATGAAGAGATCTTGCCGGTTTGCTTCAATTCAGCCAGACCGTAATGAAGGCAATCCTGTTAAAGCTCATCGCCAAGCGCGAGCGGAAGGTCTTAATCAAGACTCACATGCATCGCACCAGTGTTCCGTACGGGCCGCTCACGGGTCTCCCACCGGTTCCGGTGCCGGACCAAAGGCTGTGTGCCCTGCAGGCCAGTCAGGCAAGGGAGTTGTACTGGTGCGCTAGAGCCTGAAATGGCATACGATAGTTGGTACTAAGGACGGTTCATCGGTAATAATCGTACCATGGGCGTCACAAGGAATACAAGGGAGTATCGTTGCTATGGGCACATCCTGGATTGTTACCATGGACACCGCAGCCCTACAGAGGACACATTGTCATCACTGGAGACTTGGGCATGGCATTGAGGACTCCAGATGTCATGGAGACTTACATGTATCTTTCAGTGTTAACACTAGCTGGGCCAAGGACCCCAGTAGTGGAAGGTCCCCTCTATAATGGAATATCTACCCTCTGTTTTCGCTCTATGTCTGTTTGGACTGTTTATCCTCATACTATCAGACTAGAGTGGTAACCTTTGTTCCAGTCCTTGCTGCGCTTAATAGAGGCGCTCACATGACCTTGTCGAGCGCGTGTGCTTATATGTGGAGGCCTGCCGCCGTGTCAGCGTTTCTGATTGGGCCCCTGGTCCCAGTGTGTGCGGTCGCCATGGAGACGCCTGTGCTGTTTTTTGCCTTGCAGGATGAGGGCGCTCAGCCCCTGAACCTGTCGTCCAGGCCTAAGGCGACCGAGAGCAAGTCACCCACCTCCCCCGCTTCCCCACAGGTCCCTGCCCTGAAGCTGGGCCCCGGCTCCCTGAAGCACAGCGCCCCAGCCAGCATCAGCAGCCCCCCCACCCGTGTCGGCTCCTTAGGTACCGCCC